CCCGTCGGCCTCTTCGTGCCCAGCGAGGCGCACGGTAAACCACGCAGACATTAAGGAAATGCCGGGTCCAGCCATCATCCATGAGTTCTTTATCTGCACCATTCGGCCAAGGAGAGATATCCGTGGCCAAATCAGCCAACGATATAATCTTAACCGAGTCCTCCAGTTGAGAGTCCGAAGGATAATATAGTGGACCGAGATGCAACTCGACCTCCGCAGACATTGAGAGCCCCCGGATTTGCCTACGTAGATGCCAGTGGCAGAGGTCATGATATTGATTTAATTCTAAAGACGCGATAATCGTGGCTTCTTGATTGGGCTCACTCAAGGACGTGATGATACCAGGTGTGTAGGTCGACTGGATAGGGCGGTTGACCGCTGGTGTGCGGATATTGCTGCATCCAAGCACCACGGTGAGCCCACCATTCGAGCGACGAATACAAAATGTGCAATCGCCAGACTGCCAGCTCTATTATCTTGGATTCAAACGCCGAAAAGGTCGGGATGATCGAGGAGTTGGGAGATGGAGTACAAATACGCACTAGCATCCTTTCATAGAGTGATCGAACGGTTCAGATGCTGATAATCCAGGTCATTTACCAACCACTCTGTATCCTGCAGGCAGCTCAATACCTAACAAATCAGATGCGATGAATCCACGTACAGCGCATGCATAGATGTAAATGGTGGTGAAATGAGACGCACGATAGGGCGCCAGGAAGTGCGCGAATGGTATCAGGTCTTATCGTAGGATTCAAAACGCAGCTAGTGTTGTGGGGTATATCGAACACCTGTTGGTTCAACTTAATATGGGAAATATGACTCACGATTCTAAAGCACTACGCTGTATTGAAATGATTGAAAGATTGAGGTTTGAGTGTATCCTGAGATGTTTGGCACCGGTGCAATATCTCAGCCAAGTTCGAGGTGGAATGCCCAAAGACAACTCATCAAAAGTGGATGCGCTAAGCGTGATCAAGGATCAATATCTCTCGGTCTGTACTGATTGAATGCGAGAGCGGTGTTCTGCCACAGAGTGAAAAAAACTCTCCTTGTATGATTCGCTGGAAGCGAGAATCCGGTTCAATATTGGGCGGTGGATACACCCTGGATACTGCTGTCTCTTCAATTTTTTTCTTTCAGTTGGTTCGGCATTTTTTCGTAGTATCCTCCTCGATCTCGGTACCGCTGTCGATTTACCAGCGCCGTATGTCTGGCATTGCCAAATAATGGCCAGAGATCATCGGGTGACTCACCAATAAGGTGTCGGGTGGTGGATTGAGCTAGAAAGGTGTTCCCAATTACCTTGTCATGACAATTTACTCACTGCTGCAGTATTTCCAAGTCTGAACTGGTCCCATGGATGCATTTCTGCTCATTCCCGCTAACTGCTGTGATATATCCCGCAATTCTGACCGCTGTGTCGGAAACGCTCATTTTATCATCTGAACTCATTGGAGCTCGTTGTACTCGGTCCGACCCTTGCTGCGAAGTTCAAGACGCATGACGTTTCCGCTCTGTCGGCCACGGTTGCATCCTTTTGTGCCACTTGCGCACGACGGAACTTGACATACAGCGCTTTGCCAAGTCACTGTGATTCTCCGGATTTTCATTCCGTGAAGACAGGGATCGGGATGGTATTCCAAAGTCTGTATCTCTTGGCATCGAAGATTTGGTTATATTGGTCCCGGGTATCCACATCAACTATTCCGGAACCGACCCCTGCCATTCGTCCTGCGCTCATGTCATTCTAGTGCACATTGCTAGGCAACATTGAATTACTAAGATATAGACACTGAGATGTCGCGAGTGAGTCTAATAAATGGCTGATGGAGATTCATGGTTTTGCCGAATTCCGAATGTGCTTTTATACACTGACATGCCACGCCAAGCAGTTTGGGCTGTATTCCGAATTCCCCGGCAATTAAACTGGAGAGCATTTTCAGTTCCGCCCAATTATGTCCGCACACTAAAAAAGGATTCTTACTCTGCCCGGAATGGAAAAGCGATCGGGGCGGCAATATGGTTACTTTTCTCGTTAGCATTCTTGCCAGGGTTCCTTGTTTCCAGACCCAAATTTAGTTCGCAACTCTCGCTTACTGGTATGTACTATATAGTGTGCTTTCGAACTCAGACTTTTCTTTTTACCCACTCGCCAGGTCAACTACGGAACAAGATACCCGGTTCCGTGTACTAGATTTAGGATAGAGCCCCAATACGAATGAGAGGGATCAATTAGTATAATGTCGGATATCATTTAGGGTATGCCGGATCACTTGAGCACGTGAGAGGGAAGAAAGATTTTGCCGTACCTCTCTCTTCATACCACCAACATCCCCGCAGCAGCAGTCGAAGTCAGTTTCGTCCACGAACCACGCAACCACGTCGATGCTATAATTTCAATTTCTCTGGGTCAAATCATAATACGGACTCTAGCCCATCCTCTGGCGGAGCTTAGTGGTCCACCGCGTGTACGGTGTTTGTGTCACACCTCTCGGACCTGGGCTTGCCACTTCACTATGTGCATCAGGACATACGGCTGCAAGTCCATCCAGCTGCAACGAACATGGGATTAACGTACGATCACTGGCCTGCATCTCTCTCGAACTAGGCGAGCGAATGTTATATTTCCAATATCCCCGATCGATGCAATCCGCCCATGGCCCTCAAAGGTGATCCAGTCCGAATATCGAATTGAAGCCAAGACCGCCTTCGGGCAGCGCGCCTGTTCGTCTTTGTGGAACGAGGTTTATTTCATCGTTCGTGTTCGCTGTTGCACGTCACTGAAACTCTGCACTCAACACCTGAGCTGATGGTGGGTTCATTTCAGCCCTTATTGGCGACGGAGAAATGTAATGGCACCACGAGCGCATGGAGTAGCGGTACCTAGGATCGTTTCTTCGTAAGACCCTTCCGTGCTTAAGTAAACGGCATAAGACAAGATGACTCGTTCCAAGGTTTCTAGAGCAGATGACAGCGATAATGATTCCGCCATACATTTATGCTAGTGTCGAGTCGGAGATTTATCCAATGTTGCGCGTTGCGACATACTATGATACCCAATACCTCTGGGACCTAAAGTACTTTATATTGCTCACCGTAGAATGCCAACCAGACTAAAAGAATGTCCCCGACCCAAACTCGACCGTAGGAAGACCGCAACGAGCCCTAACTTCCAACCTACCCAGGACACCAAGCAAGCAGTAAAGGCACTGAATCCATAGACCAAAGAGTCAAAGCGTCACAATAATCTCCAGAGGCAACTTAGCTGACGCGATATCACCAGAATAGGTCCAGGGTCATATCCAAACACGGGGATTAGGGGTCGCGGGATGTATCGGGGGGTGATCGCAAGCAAGTCGACGACTTGGCTTGGAGTGAATGCGACAACAATAAATAGATTGAATGAGAATACATTGGCCCTCAGGGCATCCCTGGTACCTTAGTGCTGATACCATTCCAGAACTAGTAAGCCAAAACTCGAAGCTTAAAGGCTCGCCCGCAAGTCTCGTCCGGCCTCGTGCCTCGGCCGACTCACCTCCCTCGCTTACACACCATATGCACTTTGCTAGAAACTTACCTGGCAAAAATTTCAGTTTCTTTCTTCGAATAAAAAAGGACAGTGTGGAAAAGCTTGAAGGACTTCAGTCTACCTCAGCGCCCCTAAGTACAGCTGTTTTGAGAAAATAATACCCTTTTTGATGAGGTGGTGCTACTCGATTTTTGTTTACCATTGATTGCTGCCGCTTCTTTGTTGACCGCACATTTTGAAAGCCCTCTGCGAAATCGGCTTGCGCGCCGTGAGGTATAGAGGGATTACTTGGTCTTTTATTGGAAGAGATACACTGTGGGTGGGTCCAGAAATACAAAGTTATAGCGCGGACGAGGCTCAGAGGTGTGCAGCAAGTGTGGAGTATTAATATTGGTGTAGCCGACGCTAACCGAGGGCAAATCAGTCAACAGTGGTAAGCGAAAATCGAGGAGCACTACCTCATCAAAAAGGGTATTCTTTTCAACGGCTGTAAAACAGGACCGATGAACCGACACGATCGATTTTTTACATTATCGAGGGGAGACCTGGAACCTAAGTCGGTACCAGGACTACTCGCTGACGACAAAAGTAATTGCGCATGGTGGTTCTCAGTATCCTGGGTACCGAATCACTCCAAACAACTTGTGGACCGAAAATATGAGTGAATAGAAGATATTTGGGAATGTTCAGAAAATTCTGGAGATACAGCACGTTTTTGCTCAGAATTTGAAACCGGCTTTTTATAGAGAGAGTGTGGGTAAAATTTGGTTGCACAGTCTGAAAGTGCTCGTCAAGTAGTGCCGAATACCACATTGAACCATATCAATACCTAGTAATTTAAGCTCACAATCGCCCATAGAAAAGTGCTATTTTTGCCATTTTTGCTCAAAATTGGCTACTTTGGCCATCTTCTAAGGGCGATTGTGAGCTCAAATCACTAGGTATTAATATGGTTCAAAGTGGTATTCAGCACTACTTGACGAGCACTTTCAGACTGTGCAATCAAATTTTACCCACACGCTCCAGAATTTCTAATTTTAGAATTTTCTGAACATACCCAAATATCTTCTATTCACTCATATGTTCGGTCCACAAGTTGTTTGGAGTGATTCGGTACCCAGGATACTGAGAACCACCATGCGCAATTACTTTTGTCGTCAGCGAGTAGTCCTGGTACCGACTTAGGTTCCAGGTCTCTCTTCTAATCTGTGCATCGTCTGATTTCCTATCACGAACTTTGATCAAAGACCGGGTTCGATTCGAGGTGGAAATTTTGAACTCCTCATTTGAATTATTTCAGGCTGTTTTTGCAGCGCTGAAGGAACATTCTGCAAAAATTCAATTCAAGAATGTTGATTCAAACCCTAGCTCTCGCTGTCCGGCCAAACGGCATATATCTTTTTTCCAACCCTTTAAATTCGAGCTGTGCGACAGTGAGAGATGGAGACCCGAGCTTGTTGGGAGGCAAGCTGCTGTGGCTCAGTGTAGAGTATCCTCTCAATCTGTTCTGCAGACCGTTTCTGAGGAAGCTGTGGGCTCGAATCCCACCAGTAGTATATGGAATCAGTGCGGGTTTAAAAAAAATCTCAAATACACCGATGTTGCTTCCAACGACGGCCTAATTGTCTCGACATCCAACCTCTGAGACAAATACACGGAGGGTCTGTAATACGTTACATCCATTCATTATTATTTCATAATAGAACGCAAAGGGTTACCATGAAGTGTGGTATAAGGAGTGTAATCCAATGGTCGGCAAGCTGCTGTGGCTCAGCGTAGAGCATCCTATTCTGTTCATTCCCCTGCAGAAGACTGTGAGGAAGGCGTGGATTCGAATCAACCAGCAGCGTTCGTCCTCAATGTGTCTTTTTTTCTTCTTCATTGCCAAGTTGAGTACGAATCAACTGAGTGTGAATGGCGAATGGATGTTTTTCTCTCAAATATATTTCTATATCCTCACAACAGCTGGGAGTGTACCTTCGAAGCCAGGAACTCGGGAAGCGTATAGTGTAAGGACCCCGATTTTCTGGGTTGATTATCATTTGACTTCGATTCCCACCAGGAGCATAACGCAAATTAGCTGTTCTCTTTTTTATCTTGATCCATTCTGATGCTGATTTCAAAGTTCAAACACCACCCTCGAAGGTTTTTCTCCGCCAATGTCGGCATATATCCTGAGCCCGTGTCAATTAATACGGAACAGGTATGATAGCGGACAAAAATTCATGACAACTCGGAGTTTGGGATGTTTTCATCCAAGATTTGAGATTTGTGCCCAGAATGACCAGATTCGTGGGTAAACTTTTTCATTTCAGAAGGCCAAATCTGAGTTGGAAGTTCAAAAAAAGAATCATCTCAAATAGTAATGCCCACCTAATTGTGTTTGAACTCAAGTCCTTTTCGTGTGGACAACAGGTTGTAATAACTTTGGCACTGGAGCACAGCCACCGGGTATTCGGCATCACTCGGCTATCACTGGTTAAGACCGGCCCACCATCAAAAGCCCTAAATCTGTTGGAGAAAACAATAATTCGAGAACTTCGAAGTTCTGCTCCGCCATCTAAGATATTCCCGCAACATGGTTCGGCATCCTCGCCGAGTCGTCGTTGCCAGAACCTCGGGCACGCTGCGGGAATATCCTACATGGTGTGACGCCACTGGAGTATTCGCGATTAGTATATAGTAGCGGACTGGCCCGAAATGCGCGTCTTTCGGCGCTTCTTTCACGGCAGGTTTTGTTATTCAATTTATTCAGTACTCAGCTTTCAATGTCATTCGTTTAGCAGAGCATTATGTCTAGCTGTAAGTGACTTCGTTGAATTGGCTTGGGTGTGGACGTAAGCCAACTACTTAGCCGTACTATGGTGCTATCAATTTTTGATGGTTTTTTTTGATGTCGGTTAACGCAGTTTCCCACTGGGCCTTTCTGCCTGTCTCGGTAACCCAGACGTTCTAGCGTGACCTTGCTCATCGCTGTAGTAGTTTTATCTTATCTATGTTTCGGATTGATCCGGCGGGGCTTGAATAAATGATAAGAAAGTACTTCAACGATCACGCTAGAACGTCTGGGGCATTTGGTATAGCAACACACCCCATCAAGTCACACTTGCAGTGTCACACAATCTTCAAAATATTGTACTGTGGGCCTCGAGAGGGCCAAATGACAGCCAAAAATGTATTAAAGGATGGAATGAATGGTTAGAACACAGTGCAATTTTTTTCAGCATAGTTTGAGGTTGAATTGGCGAAATATGGCATAGAAAAGGTGCAAATAGGAATGGCGCGCGACGGCGTAAAAATAAGCAGTAAATTTCCGCAAAAATGGGAGAGCCATTTAGAAGAGACAGATGGGTTAATATGACCAGTCTTGAGGGCAGCAGTGGTGAGGGAGGGACGGGGAGAAGGGTTGTGACCGGATGGGGGGTGTTGCTATACCAAATGCCCCAGACGTTCTAGCGTGATCCGGACCGAACTTTTCTTATCATTTATTGAAACTCTGCCGGATCATTCCGGCGCACTGATAAGATAAATCCCGCCTATTGAGAATGAGCAGGATCACGCTAGAACGTCTGGGTTACCGAGACAGCTTTCTGCAAGTATTCTGCTTGTGCATGCCTTTTCTTTTTCTTTTTGCTGTCTGCTGGCGGTGGATTTTAGTTCTTTGGTGATAATTACATGTGTGCAGACCTAACAAATTTTTGTTCTTCACTCTGGTGGCTTTCAGCTTCTGGACCATCTCTGAATGGTTCTGATCCATTTTTCAGAAATTTTCTAGAAGAAACAAGCATTTTATAGGTCAAGTCATCAGAAATTGATAGTGCAATGGTACGGCTAAGTGGTCGGCTTACGCCCAGACCTCATGACAGGGTTCCCTTTAGGATTCCATGAGGGTTTGGTCCGAGACTATGTTGAACTGTAAGATTTGATTTGGACTGGGGTAGGTAGGTAGGTATCATTACACGGCCGGTCCGAATCACGAACGCCGGTTCCAGGGATTTTCCCGGTGTACAAAGCAAGCGTAATTACACCATCGCCCCTGGACTCTTCCCTGCTAACATCGCCCTAGCTCGCAGACCCCACAGGTTCGCCCATGCCCCACGGTAGGAACTAGCCAACAGAAAAAAGCATACAAACACCTGGATTAAGCCTATCAGTTTCCACGTCTACTTGGGCGATACACGGGTAATCTATAGAACACTTCGAGGACATCATGCACAAATTTACCAACCAGTGTAATTGTTGAACAATTTTTGATATAGTGTCAGCCTAGGATCACTTGAACGCTCCCGCGACGTTTGCGTAGTGCGTAGTCGAGGCGACGTGGCACCATAGAATAAAGCGGCACGGCCCACTACCGAGATTGATTTTTATCGCCTAAGTTCTGACTGCGGAGATGTTAAAGATTTTTGGCAGATGGCCATCTCAGTGCTGGCACGGCAAGAATCGCATGATACGCCGAACAAGAGGTTGAACTGGATTTGCTTGCGAATTCCAGTGGAAATTATAAGTATAGGCTGCTTGTATGACAACTGCAGATATTTCCACCATGAAGTTCGTACTCAGTAATGAATTCAAGTAGATAGATACTATAACATATACAGTTGAATCACGCATATGGAATACCATCGGGATAGGGCCCAAGGGTATTCCATATGCCGGTTATTCCACAGTAGATAAAATCAATTAAAATACTGATTTTCTTTTGAAACCTATAGGATCATTGTCGAGTTCAGGAATAGCCGTATTGGTTTGAATTATTGCCTTCTCGGCTTCCTGCATCCTTTTAGCGCAGTATTTATGCAGATTCATCCCTTTTGTGGTTCAATTGAGGATCATGAGGAAAAAGACATCGATAAATCAATTATTTGGGCAAAATAGCTTTATTTGATGGTTGAAAATCTAATTGCGGAAAAGTATCCCCAAAATGGCCAGTTTGCCTCAAAATTTTACATTTTGGCCATCTGCACAATGGAATATCAGCCCAAAGTAATTGCCCTAGGGCTATTCCATATTCCAGAAGATGGTTGATGGAATATTGTGAGGTCCGCCAATAATAGGAGGTAAGGACCCCGCAAGAATCGTCCAGAAACCAAGTAGTCACGCAAATGAGTGGGTGAGGTGTTGGATTCCAGAAAACTACTGAACTACCTACACACCAGCTAATATATAGTATCTAATATTCTTGTATTTTACTACCTTGTATCTACAAATGTCAGTCCCTTTATATGATATAGATCTAATGGAAACCGGATACGGGCGCGGTAGCGACCTTGTCTGCAAATGAACACCTGTTTCCGGGTATCTCGGGCACGGGTGCTGTCGGTCCGGCCCATCCGTTACAAATATTCCCCTATCCCGACATGGGACAGGCTCAAAAGTGATTCATTATGACAGTTATTCCATATGATATTATTCCATATGAGCGATTCAACTGTAACGAGTTAAAATATAGTCGAATATGAGGAATTTGGGCAGTAGCAAGTGGTTAAAAAATTAAATGCTTGTGAGATCTGAAGTATCACCCATCGGGTTCCTCACGGGGGTTTTTTTTTCTTTTGAAGCTTTGTTTTATATCCAGGGTGTCTAAGACATATGGTAGATATAAAGCTATCTAATTGTACTGTAGTTTGTCCAAATTCCAGGTGGTTATATCATATCAGGCTCGAAACTTTGTGACACCGCGACGGGGCGGGCACGAAGCGGAAATACCGCGGTGGGAGCAGAGCTCCAGTAGAGATGTAGGTCGTGAGTATGCATGAGTGTAATAATACCCTGCGTCGACCACCGAATGTTGTCGGTGCACGCATTTGTTGAAGATACCGGGCTCGAAAGTGGACTATACTAAGTCAGCAAGCATCTCACAGCGCATGCCCCGCAGCGGTATCTTCGAGTAACAGACACTGGTCAACGTTGTCACAGTCAACGGCTGGCCGCAAATCTGTGGAATAAAAGAAAGTAGGTCAGAATGCATAGGGCGGGAAAATATGGAACAAATACACCTTCCTGTCATGTTGATTCCACGGGCGAGCAGTGCCTCCGTGTGTCTTCATAGCCCCATACTCGAATGGGAGAAATAGCGGAGCTGTTGAAACACGACAGAAACGTAAATGTTAAGTAATACTGACGGGGCTGACTTGTATCACGATGGGGCGCCTGGAAAAGATTCTTAGTGCGTAAAGATGCAATATTAGCGCTGAAATTAAAGTGTCAAAGGTGGAGATGCAGAGGCGCGTGCGGGGGAAGTGTTGTCGTACGTGAAAAGGTGTTTCTTAGGTGTGAGTTAGGGGCGACATTCTCGAAATTCAGATTGTGAGAATAAGCAGGATTATAATTTTGGCTTGGTAATCATCAGCGGGAGAACATCTCGTACAAAAGGTGCTCACGCAAAAACAGATGACGAAAAAATGTCATTTACTGCGAGTCGTTAAAATTAGAGCTCCCTAAAAACCTTACGCGGGAATACCTAAAAGTAACGGGAATTTACCCTACATGGGGTAGATGCACCGCATTGCGCAGAAAAATTGTTGATTAATGCGGATGTAGTTGAACACGAGAT